TCGTCTGTCTACATCGGCAATAAGAAAAGATAGTGTTCTGAGCTGATGTTACAATTACCAAATAAGAGCGATTTACATATGACTGATTTTAGATTTATCTCTGGTCGAAATTTCTTATCAATTTGAAGATTCTAGTTGGCATTAATAAAGAAACAATAAATACTTTTATTAGATCAATTTAAGAAACTATTTTAAATATTCGCTACTGCTATTTTTACTAATTAACAAATAATATTGTTGTTTGAAATGAAATAGGAACCGTTGCCTCCAAAATTTACCTGTGATACACTCATAGATAATAATATGTACCATAAAAAGTGTGGACTTTTTGGCGGGAACGCGAAGTTGTGTAATTTGTTTTATTTTGTCTATTTAGTGTTTATTTAGGTTTGAATGTGTAATAACGTCGCTTATTAACTGTTTAGTATCTGTGAAAGTGCACAAATGTGGGAAAATGAAACAAATCCGCTGAACATAACTTCTCGGGATCCTCCAAAAAGTCAACTGAAAAAGTCTCAGCAAATTAATTACCACCATTTTACTGATATTATATTTCATCCCATATCATCTTATTTCATACGATGTTTCATATGAATCAACTTCATTTCATTTCATAATATCGTTTTTCATTTAAAAAAGTTTTCATTAAAATTAAAATAAGACTTGACCTAAAAGTCTTAATTACCAGGCCATAAAATTCCTTAAAAAAAGAACAATATAAAGTAGATGAACGAACGACATGTTAGTATTTTTTTTATTGCTTATATGGATGGACGAGCTCACAGCCCACCTGGTGTTAAGGGGTTACTGGAGCCCATAGGCATCTACAACGTAAGTGCGCCACCCACCTCGAGATATAAGTTCTAAGATCTCAGTATAGTTACAACGGCTACCCCACCCTTCGAACCGAAACGCATTACTTACTGCTTCACGGCGGAAATAGGCGCGGTGGTGGTACCTACCCGTGCGGACTCCCAAGAGGTCCTACCATCAGTGATTACGCCAATTATAATTTTGCGAGTTTGATTTTTATTACACGATGTTATTCCTTCACCGTGGAAGTCAATCGTGAACATTTGTTGAGTACGTATTTCATTAGAAAAATTGGTACCCGCCTGCGGGATTCGAACACCGGTGCATCGCTACATACAAATGCACCGGACGTCTTATCCTTTAGGCCACAACGATTTCAAAACACGTCATTACGGATCCTCTCAATCCATTAACGGTGCTTTTACGTTCCACAAGCACCGGTCACCGTCCTCGTCGAACCCGTCCGTGTCCGATCCGGTGGTAGATTCTGCGAAGTACTCTTCTTTCTAGGGCCGGGGTGAAGCTGAATTAGCCTCTCAAAACTATCAGCATTACTAATACATAATATAGTTTATTTACACTGTTTTATGATTAAACATGGAATATTTACAATATGCAGCTTACCAGAGAACTAAGCACATTAATAAACTTTTTAAATATATATTTTTTTAATATGGCATCGCATTATTCGTAATATTAACTTCGCAAATTAATGGCTACCTTTTTATGTAAGAATAAGGCAAATATAAATTTAGTTTTAAAAAGACATGATTTATGTTAAGCTTTGCTTCTGTTGAAATAGTGTACATTTTTCCTTGACAACCCAATACGTCGAAACGAAATTAGCGTAAATCGTCAGCCGGCCACACAATGCATCTATCTCACTCATTCATTTTCATTCGCTCATCAATTCACGATACATGTTATGAGACAAAGGAGCTAGTGATCTTGTGCTAGAACTGATACATTCGGAGCTAGTGGGAGTTAGTGATACATTCTATCGGTGTGAGTGATTTAAATCTCTTCTAATACTCAAGAGCTACACATCTTTAATGAGGTTGCAATTTAACCTTCACTTAAAGAGGGTAAAGGCTTTATAACTGTCTTAATTGCGGTATAATTTGGAGAAGTGTTCAGCTTTAAGCAGCAAATTAGAACTAGAAACCAACCAAAAAGTGCTAGCTTAGAAAGTATGAATGTAGCAGTTTTAAATGGAGATAAATGTGCAGAGTTGATTATATGTCACTTTTGGTGTTATCTTTGAAATCACAGCAGTTCTTATGATGGCATCACTCTAACTGATCACTTTTCGACGGACACTTTTTCATACATAGAGAGTGTGCTCCTTACCTTCCATATCCTCGCTCTAAATGTTTATTTTTCTATCTTTTTGTTTTAGCTATAATTCATTTTATTTAAATTGTATTTTAAAATCTACTACTTATTGTATAAAACATACAAATAAATTTTGAAGTGAAACTTCTTTATCGACGTAGGGAGAAAAAAACGTATGTAATGTTTTTCGGTTACGCGCCATCTTAATTTCTTCCGTTACGCGCCATATTTAGTTTGTTATCAACAGATATCGCTGTACGTAAATTCAACAATTCCTGAATCGCGGTGACGAGATGTTACACAGTTGATAGACTTTCTCGTATTTCTCTTGCTAAATCATATCTACCTGGCGTCGGGATACCGTGGTTCTCCCGGGGTGCGGCTGCTCCATTGCACTGCGGAATGATTGACCCTTGCGATTATATTCATATTTTATAAGTTTCACTTCTACCGGATGTGACTTGCACACACACACACACACATTTTTTTTCTATCTTTTATCTTACTTTACAACTTCAACTCATAGTGCTCATTCCTGCATATATAGATAAGACAATTCTTAAAAATACTCTATTCTTGGCTCCGAAATACGGTCGAGCCTTTCCGCAATACGTAAGTACACTTGAGAGCTTTATAGAAAGAGCCCGTAAGGGTTGCTGAACCATCAATGGAACGCCAAGTTGATAAAACTGTGGATCTTTCCGACCAAAATTCATGATTTTCTCCCGAACCCGAGCGGGTATTGTGACAATTTGGAATGGTCCTGAGAAGGCGATAAAAGGATTCCCACGCCGAATCATCTTTTTCATTGTTATTATTGTATTGAATAAATTTCAGTGGTTTTACTTTTAGCATATGTTTATGTGCGGCAAATAAATATCATTGTCGCTTCCGTCATCATCAGAGATCGGAGTAGGTAGATTGATTTAAGGTCGTTGACGTCAAACGTAGAGGATAATATGGATATGCCTCCAAAATACCGGAACTTCATATTTATTGTGATATTTGTTCCGGAATTTTGAAACTTGCATGAATCTGTGTTTAGGGTGAAAAATGTATTAAAAATATTAATCTACGCTGCCAGTGCTAGCTAATGGTGAAAGAAATCAGTACCTATTTTATTTTATACAAAAACACCTTGAAATAGTTACACCGTATTTTGTCCCTTTCTGTTGAATTAGAAATGACGCTTGTCAGTACGAGACAAAACTTAGACAGGGTTTTTGTTACTTTACCTCATGTTCATCTATGTTTACAACGAATCGACCGCACGCAACGACCGATTAGTAGCAAGAATCCTGTAAGACTCATTGGGTGTTTGTTAGAAAAAATGATGCGCGCGCGCTGTGTTCCAGGTTCGTAGAGTGCGCTCCTAATTTGTGAAATTCCTGTGCTGTGTAAATAATAATCTCACCCTCGCTTGTTTACTGATTTCTGGTACCTTCTTAAAACGACGAATTTGGCATGTATCTACGGACATCGATTTGTTTTTAGATTGGATCTCTACTTCAAGTTATTTTAGTTCAGGTAAGCTTTAATAATTTTCTTATGTATGTATGTTTTAGGCATTTTTTTAAAGCATAAAGTTAACATTTTTAAATATAGAAATTGGATCCGATGAGGGTTAAAAATAATTTATTTATGTTTTTGTTTAATTAAAAATAATTGTTGATTGTATTAATAATAAACGATTTTGTTAGCCTATCTGTATGTTTTTTATTTTATTTTATTCCATAGTTCAAATCACGGAACCTTTTCCGGTACTTCCCGCACATTATGGATAAAATGGCAAGTCCATGTCATAATATCTTGACGCAAATTTAAAAAATCAATCTTTGAATCACTGAAGTAGGAAATATAGGTCTATGCTTTGAATCTACTTATCCTACTCCGATCACTAGTCATCATTTTTGTTTTGGTTTGGTTAGTCATGTTGGAGTTTGTATATTAAATGTAATGGCAGGCAACACTTGACACTTGATTAGATTTCGAATATTGGAATTATTTTAAATGTTTTAAAAAACAGATCATTGTATTCTCGTAAGAAAATGTCTGTACTTCTCATCTAGACACGGCAAGACAAACATGTAATAGTTTTATAAAAAATATAAAGATAATAATTGTATAATGGTGTAAAAGTGTTCAAGCTATCAGCAATATAATTATAATGAAGCAGTTGTGTTTTTAAATAGCCCCTCATCACCTACAGAACCCAATCCCTTCAAAATTTAACCGTCCAACAAGTCATAATCCCCATTTCCTGGCTAATGAAATTAAATAAACATAATTTTAGTAGTAATGGCTCTTCCATAGATGTGTCACCAACTGTTAATCTACCTTCAGCGCTTTACACTCTTGCATTCACATTTGATATATTTTAATTCTAATGCTTGAACTCTAGGTATTATTTCTTTTAGCATCTCAAAATTAAATCTTAATTGATTACTCTTTTTCAAAAACTACCCCGTAACTGTAATATAGAAAATAACGTACTAAAAACTACCATCTTAAAATTTAACTGAGCATATTGCAGATCGACTAAATAATTAGTTCAGACTAATTTAGAGGCTATTGCAGTCGTGCATAGAAAAGTTATTTGCTCTCGATCGACTAAGGAATGTAACTAAGTGTGTTTTGTTTAAGACGAAAATCCTACAATTTGGTGAAATCCTCCGATAAAACTAAACAAATACACTTATTTAGTCCAAGAACTAGTTAGCAAGGGTTGAGACTTTGCGCGGCTATAAGTAATTCGCAAAGTTGATTAAGTTGATTAATTTACTGAGTTTTGCTGTTCAGTTATAGTCAATTGCAAGTAAATCATTCGTTTACACCAAACTAGTTTTACTGTCAGTCAAGACACGGTGGCAACATTGGACTATTGTGGCAACACTTTCTCCATCCTTTGTCACGATGCCACCGAAGAAGCAACCCGAGAAATCCGGTATTTATAATTAAATAAAGCATTATTTGTAGACAAGGTTTAAAAAAATACAATTTCTATTAAAGCACAAATGTAAATAACCCTTAAAAATAAACTCGCAATAACTTGAATTCAGTAAAAACGCTGTGAAGGAACGTGTGTTAGTAACCATCTTACGTTAGCCACGCGGTATCTGTGTTGTGACTTGTGTATCACTTTTAACTCTATTGAGAAACCAATCGTAGTATCAATAGATGAAGGAATACTTTTTGCTTCAGTTAAAGTTCGTTAGAATACATCGTTTTTGCGAGTGTGTTTAATTATTCTAAAATCTAAGTTTTCGATCATTGAGGTTATAAGTATCTGTCACTTATAGGGTCCTCCGGGTCCAAACCCGCGGAAAAGAAACCGTCAACAGCCAAAACACCGGCTGCAGCTCCTAAGGCTGCGGCAGCTCCTGCAGCTTCTGCAAGCTCTACTAAACCTGCGTCAGCCAAAACACCGGCACCTGCCCCGAAAGCAGCTGCGCCTGCCCCGAAACCAGCTGCGCCTGCCCCGAAACCAGCTGCGCCTGCCCCGAAAGCAGCCTCTGCCCCGAAAGCAGCTGCCGCTGCCCCCAAACCTGCAGCCCCTGCTCCCAAACCTGCGGCCGCAAAACCTGCAGCTGCAAAACCCGCAGCCGCAAAACCAGCAGCCGCAAAACCTGCAGCCGCAAAGCCTGCAGCCGCCAAACCTGCTGCCGCAAAGCCTGCTGCTGCTGCTGCTGCTGCACCCACATCTAAACCTGCCGAAAAGAAAACTGCATCAGCTCCCACTGCAAAACCTGGCTCTGCTAAAGCAGCAGCATTGAAGGCTAAGTCTAGTGCTAAACCTTCAGCTAAGAAGGCTGCGGCAACAGCAGCCAAAACTGCCAAACCCAAGCCAGCAGTTTCCAAATTGAAGATTGCACCGAAGCCCAAAAAGACTGGGATTAAGGGACAAAAAAAAGTAGTGAAACCTGTTACTAAAGCACTTAAGGCTCAGAGGAAGGCAAGTATTTGAAAATCTAAATAGATATAATTATTTTAACAACGTCAGATAGGCAGCTAAACCCAACTTGTGTTAAGTGATTACTGAAAGCTTCCTATTTAATATCAATTCTCACCATGATATATGATGTTCAATAACAAAATGCTAGGGCCAGATTTTCTATTTAAGCTGCCTTTGTAGGCAAATAGGTATACGGCTCATCTGACGGTGAGTGGGCATTGTTGCTTATGGATGAGAAGTTCTTGGTTATTTTTCAGTCATGCTCTAAGGATACCTGCAGTGAAAGATGGTATGGTGCTCTTCGAGGTTGAAACTAGTCAGTCATTCTATAAAATTCAAAACTTATTTAATAAAATAAAATAGAAGATGTGAGAGAAGAAATATACTATTTTAGAATAATATAATGTACTATAAGCTTAAGTAACCCAAAATATTTTGTTTTTTATGTTAAAACTCACTTTGCAGGTTGTAAAAGGTGAACATGGGAAGAGAGTACGGAAAATTCGCAACTCTGTGCATTTCCGCAGACCCAAGACGTTTGAACCTCCTAGGCACCCTAAGTACCCAAGGAAGTCTCTGCCTAAGAGAAATCGGTTAGTACCTAATTTTTAAAATATGTTTCTGTAAAATAAATGTAATTTGTTGTAGTGTATTAAAAATTGAAGATGATGGAATTCTGTAAAAATATATATATATACATCTATATATGTATATAATTTGTTAAGAGCAGTAGTACTGAGTTAGCCTTTTGTCTATGGTTCTGGGTGTAGTGACTTATTTTCTAATATTTTTTTTTATTGTTATGTAGTGATCTGTTTCAATTAACAATGAGCTATTCCTTTGCCTGTTTTTTTGTTCTTATTAACGGTATAAATAGTGTCCGGCGTCCAGTGACATCTTAATCTTTTATTGTAAGATTTATTATCTAATTTTTAAGGTAGGTATACTGTGCCTCCTTAGTCTAGTAAACTGCACTGCTCCTGTGCCTCCTAGGTCCGACGCCCATTTATTGGCGTGTGTCAGTAGTAACTTGACTGGTATTTCATGCTGTAAATTACTATTTCCTCTTTCACTGTGTGGAAATTTAGGTTCATTTATATATCTTGTTGCTTATGTTATGTAGTATTCTTAGCATTGTTCTTATAGTTTTATTTTGAAACCTTTCAAGGATCTTGATGTTGCTATTGCTGGAAGTTCCCCAAAGCTGTATGCCATATGTCCATATTGGCTTTAAGATGGTTTTGTAAATTAAAAATTTACTTCTGGGCGAAAGTTGGGATTTCTCTCCAGTCAACCAGTACATACTTCTTATGTCTAATTGTTTTCGCTTAGATCAGATGTGCTTTTGCCATGTCAGTCTTTGATCCAGATGATTGCCAAGATATTTTGCATCTTCTGCTTGTAGTGCTTTCATTATATAAGCTTACAGAAACAAACCTGCCCAAGGTTTGTTTCCTGACGCTAAATGTAACATGGAATGATTTGCCTTGATTTACTTTAACTAGCCACTTAATAAACCATTTCTAAAGGTCATCTAAATGTGCTTGCAAGTTTTCAGAAGCAGTGGCAGGTTTGTTATGAACAGATATTATAGCTCTATACATCTGCATATGTGGCAATTAGTGTTTCTGTTGGTTGGTAAATTTGCTATATAGATGAGGTACAGAACAGGTCTGATTATGATGCCTTGTTGCACCAGAATTAATCTCATGCATCTGTAATGATATGACTTAATAATAATTGCATAATAACTGTGTGGCAAAAAAATTTTAAACTTCAACATTTGATTGTGCCACACCTTGTGAAACGCCTACCCGATATTGACAAAGGCAGCTGAGCAGTTCTGTTTGTTTTCAAGTGTCTCACTTATGACATCCACAAGGCGATTAATCTGTTCAATTACTCTATGCTTTTCACAAAAGCCAAACTGATGTGAAGAAGATGCTGCACTCAGCAGATGCTCATTCTATTAAGAATAGCTTTTTCCAAAATTTTACCACTTACTGGAAGAGGGCTTATTGGCCTATAAGAACCTACACTGTGAGGTGGTTTTCCATGCTTTGACATCACACCACTTGGGCTATTTTCCATTGGCAAGGAAAACTCTCCAGTCTAATGCATGCATTAAAGATGATAGCCATGAGTGGTATGCCTTTTTTAGGAAAATGTTTAAACATAGTTGCATTGTTCATCATAATCTTGTGATTTTCCCTCTTTCAGGCTCTTAATTTCATTAGTTACTATCATCAGGTTTGTGTATATTAGCGGTAGGCACATCTACATTAGAGAAATACAATAGTTCAAAACTTCATCATTGTGCGTTAAGTTTAATCCTGGGAAAGGCTGAAACACTAATTTGAGGTGTTCTGTGAAAGTTGAGGCATCCTTGAGATCAGATCACATATTGTCCTGCTTCCAGTAAGTGTTCTAATAGGTGATACATGCGTTTTTATTTTTCTAGTAGCTTTCCACAGAGGATAGTTGGGTGTCTGGAGGTGCCTTTAAATTTCTTAAGAATTATTATAGTTTGTCTTCGTTCATTGCTTTAGTTAGGTATTTTAATTCCTCAGAAGCCCTATTAAAACCTGTCTTATCAGCAGGATAGCCAGTGCTATGTCATATTTTGTGCAGATTCTGTCTCCTAGCTACCATATCCTTGATGTGTTTAGGGTAATGGTGAAAAACAACTGGGAATTTCCTTGCTGCCGTAGATCTGCGCAGTGCCTCATGAATAAGTTGCATTAGGTTTTTTACAGCATTCTCAACATCTTCAGTGGATTTCAAAGGGATGTTTTAATTTACATTATTGTTGATGTACCCTTGGTAGGTTTCCCAATTGGTATTCTTGTTATATGGCTTAGGTGGGTGTTCATTCAATAAAGTAGAGTTTATGTTAAGAATTACTNTCCTTGCTGCCGTAGATCTGCGCAGTGCCTCATGAATAAGTTGCATTAGGTTTTTTACAGCATTCTCAACATCTTCAGTGGATTTCAAAGGGATGTTTTAATTTACATTATTGTTGATGTACCCTTGGTAGGTTTCCCAATTGGTATTCTTGTTATATGGCTTAGGTGGGTGTTCATTCAATAAAGTAGAGTTTATGTTAAGAATTACTGCAGTATGATCAGAGTATAGATCAGTATCGGATTCGACGCTCAGCTGTGCCTGGGGCACATTCTTGGTGATAAAGAAGTCCAGTAAATCGGCTTGTCTTTCGAACAGTCGGCCAGTAGATTGGCTCACCTTGAGATAAGCAATATAAAGAAAGTTGTTTATAAGTAGTATATAGTTGTCTGGAATTGCTACCTGCCTTGTGGTAGAGTCAACCTTGAGCTCCAGTAGTTGTGTTTAGCGTTAACAAAGTTAGTGTATTAAATAACACTAATATTAATATTTTTTATTTTTTCTAATAATGCAATGAGTTATACAGGAACAAAAGAGTTTGCTCTGCATATTTTTATCGACACATTGATTTTATTTGTGTAATAATCATTGGTCAGTTATTTAACAAAGTTAATATATTAATAAACACTAATATTAATATTTTTCTTCTACTACTTAGTGCAACCAAACTTAATAACATAAAATAATTAGTCTAAAAAGAACCTATTACTTTCTTTATTGTATTTACCTTTTTCTAGGTAATATTGCAATCAGTTACACTGCAACAAAAGTGTTTGTGCTGCATATTTCTATCCACCCATTGATTTTATTTATGTAACAGTGTTTTAGTAAAAGATTTCTTTATGTTGTAGCAGCCCAAAACCATTACAATATACTAAATAGCCTTTCACCCCTTGATATGGAGTAAGACAATATTTCATACCATATACAAACATAAAACAGTGCAGAGTAGCTAGTATCCATCGTCTATAATTGTCAGGAGTTCAATGGGCTTTTTAACATATGGATTGGTTAATTTTTCAGAACTCAGGCATAAATATAGAAATAATTTATCTTTATCCTGTAGTATCCCTAATAAGATTTTCTTTATATAGCTCAAATGGTTTTCCCTGTCACATTAAGGAAGACTGAATTTATAGTAATATTAATCTTGAAAACTTGTAATTGCTATTATGAAAATAATCAATCTTTTAATATAAATTATATAAACCTCTGATACAAGGTTATGTTCATAAAATTAATCAAGACGAGTTTTTCAATTTTATTGATTTATTATAAAAACGATTGTGTAGGCTATTGTCATTGCTGCAGTTAGTATTTAACTAGAACTTTATCGCTTTTCACAGCATGGATGCCTACAACATCATTAAATTCCCTCTCACGTCTGAAGCAGCAATGAAGAAGATTGAAGATAATAACACCTTGGTCTTTATTGTCCACACAAGTGCAAACAAGCACCATATCAAGGCTGCAGTCAAGAAACTCTATGATATAAATGTTGCTAAAGTCAACACACTCATCAGGTTTGTAAGATGACTTCTATTTTATATTTTTGTTAAGGCTAATTGTTCAATCCTAGTTTTGTTAAACTTATTGAAATGATGATAATCTAGTGGGAATCTCATTGATTGAGGATGAAATAAAAATTGCACATCTCTGATTGTTTTCAGGAAATCTTTTCAAATATAATTTGAGAGTTTACAGTTTTAATTATTTATAATTCTTACTTTCAGGCCTGATGGTAAGAAGAAAGCGTACGTACGACTCGCTAGAGATTATGACGCATTGGACGTTGCCAACAAAATTGGCATCATATAAACTGTTCCATATTTTCTAAGAATAAAAATTTACAAAAATAAACTTGTTTGATTAAAAACTTTATATATAAATTTTATATATATGGTAAAAATAATAATTAAAAATAATAATAGGTTCACAATCCGGCCATAAAGAATTTAAAAATCTTGAACAGTTGTAAATACTACTTGACGTGCACAGGACTGCCCAGCCATCCAGCTACATCAGTCTAAATCACAAATATCGCCCTCTCCTTAATGTGGCTCTTCCAATTTGAGGATGGTGGAGGAGTACGATGTTCATATTCCATTTACTCGCTGGTGCAATTCTAAGAGTAATTTGGAATGGATGGATGGCTGCCTGGCTATTCGGCCTTCAATATTATTCGTATTACGTCTACCCTAGGATCTTTGATACTACAGTTTAAAAGTTGTTTATTGATCGAGTTTTTATTGTAATATGTACGATGTAATGTGGGAAGCTCCCTGGCTAGGTGGCGCGATGTGGAGAGCTGAACACGGCTCAGTGGTGTAAATTGGGAAAGGCCTATGTCCAGTTGTGGACGACTATGGGCTCGTGACATGTAACAATTATCATCATAACAGTTAACTAAAAAGTGAATTATAAAATTGTTTTTTGAAATTCAAACTTCCGTGAGTTCATATTGAAAGTTAAAAAATATCAATGCAGAGCCACCATGTATGCTGAGGTGCACACCAAGTTTATCGTCCCACAACAATAGCTTGACCAAAATTTACAGTTCTTGCGAGTTCACAATGCATGTGAGCATAATTACCCTTATATGATTACCTACAAAAGATTGATATAAGAATAGAAGAAGGCCCTACGCCACCTTCGCCTTTGCAGATAAATATCTTCATTATCTAATTTTTTTTATTGCTCAAACGGGTGACAGAGTTCGCCGTCCACCTGGGGTTATGTGATACCGGAGCCCATAGCCATCAACACTGTAAATGCCGCCACCCACCTGAGTCTCCGTTTTTACAGTGTAATGGCTGCCCCGCCCTTCAAACCGAGAAGCATGGCTACTTTAAGGCAGAAATAGATAGGGTGGTATATACCCGTGCGGACTCAAGACCTACCCAGTAAAATTTATATATTTAGAGCATGAAATAAAAAAATCTAAAATTGATGTACAATGGACGTTTTTTATTGGCCTGGGAATTTTATTTGCCAGTATATTCATGAATCGTCCGGTTGCCGCACAGCGAGGTTGCCTGACTGGCCGTCACCTTGAGTTGCTAACCTGTTGTTGCGTCACGTCAATAATACATACTAAAATGGAGGGCGACGTGTTTTTTCCGCAATTTCGTATTCTTTATCTACCTTTGCTACACTAAAACGTTTTTCATTAGTATCGGAGTTAATGTTCCAGATTAATATGTTTATTCAACAATCGAAAATAATTTTACCTAATGTGTGATAAGATAGGAGTGATATAAAAAAATACAAGGTTGAATGACATTCAATTGTATTTATTTTAACAAAAAGTTAAATAGTAATTATAGTAGATGTGAGTAATTATTTAGGATACCGTGAAATATAATTCACAAATTACGAAATTTATTTATTAAGCACACAAGTCGCGCTATAATGCAGAAGGTGCATTTATCTCAGTCCGTCAACAGCTGTGCTAAATAAAAAAGTCAATCTGAAAACCAATCTAACTTATGTCTGTCACATGTTGCTAATCATTCCGCAACTGTAGTCGCACGCAACCGCAACGCAACCATAGCGCTTAAACTCAAATGCTGTCGTCATATGTTTTGGCTTCAAATGACGTCGTACTGCGTGCGTGTATGCAAACTTCAAGTTTCGTTTAAGTAAATCTTGTAAGGTTTGTGCGGCAATTTCGAAAATTAAGTTTGTCCAGTTCCTTGATTGTTATAACAAAAAGCAAAAAAATATAACGCTAAAACTGAAATCGGATTTATTGGATGAGAAAAAAATACTCAAATTTTCCATTAAAAAGTTGATGAAATGAATGAACAAAAGGATGGGATTTGTTATGGGATTGACATCTGGAACAAATATATATATACATATATATTTATTCAGTTTGAAGTCGTACTTAATTGTTTCTTCATTTTTGATTTTTCTTGTATATTGCTAAAAAATAAAGCTGCTTAATTGAAACAAGTATTAATTTATTTAAAATTAACAATCAATAAAAAAAACTACAAATAAAGTTTTGTGTTCTAGGCGTTGTTGAGTATATTTGAATATAAAATAATTTAATATTTTCCTTTAGCATTTCTCGGTCTACAGCTAACGCTGGCTGTACACGCGCCTCTCGTCTCGTAGAGGCTCGATACGAGACCAAACGATGTCCACACTCGTATCAATTGAACTTCGGATGCCAGTTGCGAAAGACCTAGAAGAAACTGACGCAGTTGGCGGCGGTCTCAAATACTAAGTGTATTATCTATGGTTGGCGGACAAATAATAAAGAGTGTGTACAGGCGCGCTCTCCATTTCATCGCGAGACTCCTCAATTCAACGCTTCCGAGAGCGAACGAGAGCCACGAGTTGAAACGAGGGTGCCATATACACATTAGTTCTCGGCCTGTTTCATGGTGTCGCGACGAGCGTGTACAGCCAGCGTAAAACTTTCATGGATTTCAACACCTGAGGTGTCTTTAGTTTCGTCTCAGTTGTAGAGGTGACATAGGTTATATAATTTTAATATGATGTCCGCATATTTATAATCGAATTGAAAAGGATGAAATCAAATAAACGATAAAAAAAAAACGAATTAAATGCGAAAAACCTTAAAACATGACATACTCGTCGTCGTGGCCTAAAGGATAAGACGTCCGGTGCATTCGTGTGAAGGAATGACATCGTGTAATAAAAATCAAACCCGCAAAATTATAATTTGCGTAATTACTGGTGGTAGGACCTCTTGTGAGTCCGCACGGGTAAGTAACACCGCCCCGCCTATTTCTGCCGTGAAGCAGTAATGCGTTTCGGTTTGAAGGGTGGGGCAGCCGTTGTAACTATACTGAGACCTTAGAACTTATATCTCAAGGTGGGTGGCGCATTTACGTTGTAGATGTCTGGGCTCCAGTAACCACTTAATATCAGGTGGGCTGTGAGCTCGTCCACCCATATTAGCAATAAAAAAAAAAAACTAATATAATGTTTACTTAATTAAATGTTAGTAAAAGAATTCCAAGTAGGGACAAGCATACAAATATAACATCTGTGTGTAATTTAAACGTAGGTAGGTATATGGATTTTTATTCCGTTAGATATTTTTCTTTTTTTACAGTTTATTTTATTAACAAATAAATTTTGTATAATTGAAATTAGCCAGTATAAAAAGAATTAAATTGCGCCTTTTGAATAATACTCTATATATGTAGAGCCCAACTATTCCCAACTATCCACATTTTTTCGGGTCAAGACTCCAAGATAAGTAAATATTTGAATTGCTAAAGAGATGACGCAACAAAAAAACTAGCGGTAAACTCCGTCGCCGTGTAGCCCTCCTGTACTTATTCATTCTCGTCTCATCGTATAACTTATAAAATTAAAATACGCACCTTTTTATAATGAAACCCCCTGTTCGATTTTTTATTTTATTTAAGCTAATGTTATTGTTTATGGAACGCATTTTAATCTTTTCTCTTTCGAGTCAATGTTCCAATTTATACAATAGTCATAATATTTTTAATGATCATGAAATCAAACTTAACAAACAAATTACGCAGTGATTGAGCAGACACGATGTTGCATTGGTACCATGGAACATACTATTTCTCAAACACTTTGTAGTGACTGATAATACTCGAACCGAAGATTATCCAGTTGCCACTCGGTCGGTCGGTCGGAGTACTCGGAGTCGGTCGGTCAAAATATGCGATGACGACCGACCTGATTCGGCGCCACTCGGGTACATTCGCTTTGGTAATCGTGTAGAACAGTCACGCTGACTGTATTTCTTGTTCGCTCTGGCTGTGACAATCTTCCATTAACTTTTTTAATAAGTAGGTACTGACTGGTACGTACGGACAGTACACTATCCCGCAGCTCGCTAGTCACGTAGATCATAGTGATCAAATTCAGTGTTGTGTTGAACGCAGTTACATGTGTGGCGCACCGTCGGCGTGTCGTGCTTGTTGATTGCACAGTAACGAATAGTGACCTTGTGTATTCGCCAATCAAGTGATTCTTACCACGTATTACGCCAAAATTTATAACCTAACAAAATGTCAGAAAATGCACAAGACTTACTGAAAGATGCAGCTGCCGGTGCCGCCGCTGCAGCCGCTGCTGGTGGATCACTATTCAGCACATTTGACATAATTGTGTTGGCATTGTTGTTGGGAGGTACTATATGGTGGTTTTACAATTCAAAAAAAGAAAGCAAGCGGGACAAAATACTTCTGGAAAAATACTCAATTCAGTAAGTTACAACGAAATGATGGAGGTTTTTTATGTTAAACTTTTTTTAAGCTTTAATGTCGCAATTAAATTTTCGACGTTTCTAATACTTTAGAATTTCGTGTGACCACGGCAACGCGCCCGTAAGTGTTTTTAATTACTAAGTTTTAAAACTACGAATCGCGAACACTTTGTACATGCTAAAATTGCTATAATTTATTTTGTAGCAAATATGTTGTTGATTATTTTACAAGGTTAAGGAGTTATAATATTAGGAAATAGGAAACTGTAGAGTTATGAGTGATGAATAAGAGAATGAAGTATGTTGAGATTTACGTTCCTAATCTTCGCCTTTGATCTGTAATATTTATACATAGTTTTTTATAAATAAGCGCGTTTTTTTTTTTGCCTGCGGGGATGGGGATGAATCTGGGCTGTAAGGGAGGATTTGTGAAAGGCTTCTTCCAAGCTGGTGATCAGTTTTCGCCGATCCATCACGGCCCTCGTTACTGAATCTGAGGTATAAGGACGGCCGAGCTGCATGGCGACAGTTCGTTGATCGGAGTTGAGCTCTGACATTACTTCGATAGAACGCTTTGTTTTTCCTACCTATCCTGATAGCCTTGAGAGGCTATTTCAGCTTCACCCTAGGTGAGCTCACGGGGCTCAAACCGGAGTGTTGCTAACACTGGCCCTAGCAAGAGCAGTGCTTCGCAGAATCTACCACCGGATCGGAAACGCGACCCACTGAGAAGATCCGGCGAGTTAATGGGCTGTGTCTATGAGTTAATTCGCTCGTCGAGCCCTTCGTCGCGAGAGATGGGTTCGACGAGTACGGTGACCGGTGCTTGTGGTAACTAAAAGCACCGTTAATGGATCGGGAGGATCCGTAATGAAGTGTTATGGGCTACGTCGACTGTTTATCATTCGGTCTACAGGATCGGGTATGTAGTTTCCAGCGGCCGTGACAAGAGGGTTCTCATGTCGTGCCGCCTTCTCAAAATGGCGCAATAGAACACAAGCGCAGAACTATGTTTCTAAGCAGTGCCAGATCGATACTGCTCGGATGATGAGTAGTGATATTATAGGGGAAATGAGTCGGAATTGGGTGAGCGCTATGGTACACCCTGCTAGATATTAAGTTCTTTATCATGAACGCGTAAACTTGAAAGCGGACTTAGTTATGAACAAAATCGTTTCTATTATAGTTATAGCAACGCCTGCCCACAAAATGTTAAGTATCTATTTATTAGTACCTATTTAATGAAAGACTTAAATATTTAAAAGTTTAAGTATTACAAAGTATCGTTCCAGAAGTTCAGCCCGTTTATTGATCGTACAAGTATACGAATTATTTATCTATCTAATTAAATACCTATTATGTATGAATGGAATCTAACACCACTGTTTAATTACAACAAATCGGGTTGTCTGCTACCGATAGTGACAAAATATTGAGTGTATTTAGTTATTATCGGCAATTATGTCGGGAAGAAATAAAAATTCGAAAAGTATAATTTATTCGGATTCCTGTTTCGGAAAACGAAGTGCTGGTACCATATCGGTGCTAGAGCTGGTATAAAATTAAAGAAAATTATCTATTTTTCTTTGTTTATCGTCTACTGTATTTTAATGTGTAACGCAATGTAACACTACAAGCTAAAGCGTGGGGTCATCATAACAGATATACTAACACGTTAGTCAACATACCGTCAGAAATCCAACGATTACACAATTAAATAAAGTTTTGATATGCAGAAATGATTACGTTGGGATTCTTACGTGAACGTAATTTTATAGAATTGTTGGAAAAATCCTACTAACCCTTCCAAATTCAAAACTTATTTTATGATCAATTCTCGGAGTATAGGGTACCAGAATTGGCGAGTGACTGAACAGCTATTCCTCCAGAAGCCGTGTTTTTGGTCGCTCAACAAGGCTGCAAAAGGGAACTTGCCGATCTAGTCTCTCACCACTGCGCAAGCTCGATAGCAGTTTGGGCTATAGTGCGAAAGGGAAGGCTGACCTAACTTTTCGCCTCGAACTATACTATGGATGACGGAAGAGTGGCTCCTGGCCACCGAACATTTCCTGGTGTGTTAGCTCTCTGTCGAAGATCTGCCTCATACAGTATGCGTTCAGGCGGAAGCTCCGGCTCCTGGACGTCCCTAAGTCCAGTGGGTCCCGTTGTGGTTTTGATAACATGCGCTCCTGAGTTGACACTTACGCTATCGCGTTTGTATCGCCTCTCATAAAGCAGTAACAGACTTCCGTCTTCGTGGAAGAACGCTTATGTTCACCCTATCCCGAAGGAGGGTGAGATGAAGCGAATAATAAATAGGTAAGCAACTCCTGAAGTATCTTGAAGATAGCGAACTGATCAGTGACAGACAGTATGGTTTCCGTCACGGTCGCTTAGCCGGCGATCTTCTTGTTTACCTTACTCACAGGTAGGCTGACCTTAGAAAGCAAGAGCGAGGCTGTCGCTGTGCGCCTCGATATTGTAAAGGCTTTCGACAGGGTCTGAGGGCCTGACATAGGGCTCTTCTGTCGAAGTTACCAGCTTACGGGATCCTCGAGGGATGCCGCAAGTGGAGCTAGGTTTTTGGATAGACTGTGCATCAGAGAGTTGTTGCTCCGACACCATGATTATTAATACTGGTGTTCCTTAAGGTTCGGTTCTCTCCCCCACGCTATTCATACTGTATGTTTGTTACATGGTATCTATTGATGGCATACATTGTTATGCAGATGACAGCACGAGGGATGCGCTATATATTGACCAACAGAGTCCAACCTCGGAGTTTGGTGCAGAAAAACGATCAAAACTTGTGTTTGAAGTGGAGAAATTTCTGAGGCGGTTCTCAGAGTGGGATGAATTAAATTTAGTTTGACTCATCCCATTAATAACACAGATGCGTGTGCAATGCGAAGAAGAACCCTATTGTCATGGCGCCGCAATTTCAAAGAGTACCTATTCCTGCAACCTTCCTCTCGTATTGGAATACTTGGGGTCCGCGTTTCGAGCGATGTTCTATATCGAAATTAGTTGGAAGGCAACACCAAGTTAGGCTTAAATGCTAGGTGTCGCCAAAAGAGCGAATCATCAGCAATCTCAACCCCGGAATTGCTGACGTCCGACAGTAACCACTCACCATCACGTGGGTATTATCGCTTAGAAAGCCTTCGAATTTCTAAAGCTTCTAGAAACTAGAAAAAAATACATTTTACGACGAAACGTAGTCATACCTATTTTCTTGCTACTTACATACGTAATCATTATTACATATAATATACATTCTGTAAAGTAAAAGTAAAATGTTCTTGAAATAAATACAAGTCGCTAATGTTACAACAACCGTCTATTTTATCCATTGTTTTTAATTCATTTCGGATGCTTAATATGCAAAAAACTATAATAAGACAAAGCACAAACAGTCAAGGCTACAACAGAACTGTAGTTATTATGACGTCTATTTCATACAATTGCGCGCATCACACAATAAATTGACACTGTAAGTGTTATTATTATTATCACACGAGAGCGAACACAGCTAAACGTGAATGTCTGAGAGTGTAGGAAACGTTTTAGATTAGACCATCATATTCGCGGTTTTAAATCACGTGAATTCACTGTGTTTATAGGAGCCATAGCTTCCGAAGCAAACAACTTTTATTCCTTGATTTACACTTTACAGGATTAAGAGATAAAAAGTATTAAATAGTGTGATTTATAAAACAAGTGATTGTTGGTAATTCTGTGCAGAACTTGCATTAGAGCATATTATTCAAACATCCATACTTTTTTTATATTTTAGGCTAGGTTTTACTAAGCCGGGCTTGTAAATTAATTAATCGTTATTGAAAAAAAAACAATTTCCTTAACCATGCTTAATTTTATTTAACCACTAAATTTGTACAAAAAAATATATTTCGATTCTGGCATACGTAAGTAATTCTGGTTTATACTCGTAAGTATTAAACGTATTCATCGATATTTTTTTATATATATTTTTTTTCGGGTAGAGTGCCGAACCTCCTACGAGGTCCCCGCGCAAAAGGGACGCGCGGGGTATGTGAGACTCAACGCTCTGCATGGTGTTGTGAGCAGACCGCGAGCCCAAGGATTTCAGGGCCCACCCACTAAATGACTCCCCTGCACTCTTACACCCGACGTCCGATCCCCTCCGAGGTCAGAACCCGGATGAGGTTGGGGGGCTACCGCGGTCAACACTACAACCAGACGGCGCAGCTCACCCCAAGGACGCCCAGCCGACGGAGCCTTCGAGGCGAATCGAAGGCTCTGAAACGTCGGCCGTCTCGGTACGGCAGCCCGTCGGGCCGCCCAGACGGTGCCGCTGGTGTCCCGGAATACCCCGCTGGACCAGAACCAGCCTGCCGGGTCGGGACGCGATACACCGTCGACCGGTCCCTCTATTTACTCCACGGCAGCGCGCTAGAGTGCTGGTAGCGCGCCGCGCGGCCTCACCCCCTTAGGTCGCCCCTTGACCTTCACCGGGGGGAGACCGCTACCTACAGGGGCCGGGACGTACGGGCGTATTCCCGCCTCCGGCCCCCGGTTCGACGGCGACGGATCGATGCGAAAAGGGAAGAGCTCTCCCTCTCTCGCTCCTCCGCCTCCTCCTGCGAGATGGTGGACTCGCAGAAGTCGAGCATCGCCTTCCAGGACGCGTCGCTGCCGAGCATCGTACCCACGATGTGCGGCAGCGAGAGGTCCTCTCCAATGACCGCGACGAGGGCGGCGCGTTAAATAGGTAGAGAAAATAGTTCAGAACCTTTACTTATTTTTTGAATTGATTTTTTTCAGTTTTGCCGGGATCGCGACTACTTCGCTACCCAAGTTGTGTATTTTGTTTTATATTCTTATTTTAGTGTTTGTTCAGGTTTAAATATGTAATAACGGTGGTTTATTAACTGTTCAGTATCTGTGAAAGTGCACAAATGTGAGAACATGAAATAAAGCTGCTGGACTTAGCTTTTAGGGGTTTTCCAAAAAATCAG